AGACAGAGAGGCAGACAGGCCGACTGACTGAGCAAAATTTTGTTTACAGCAAACAGCAGCTTATGAAACGAGGTTGCCTTTCGACAAACCTCTTGCAGACTTACTTTTGCAAAACAGTACCGATTTGAACAATTCTTAGGCGTACCTGCGCGACTGGCACACTCTGATCTCGCTGAAAAAAGCGGCTAGAGAATATTTGGGCCCTGTTCACATGCCCTTATTTTCATCTAATAGAAAATTTCCATTTCATTGCCAGTGAAAGAACTTCATTGTCTCCGTATAGCGTTTATGACTGATCATAAATTTGCATATCAACAACTTAGCTTCTTTGAAATATTTCACCTACCTCAGCTGGGAATCCCGTCAAAACACCGAATGCAAGCCGTTGAAATTCATCAAGCAGTTTTATATGCCGGACTGCAAGCGATGGCATGAAACTAGTTCCGAGAGCAGGTTTTTCCTCGCGCCGTTGTTTAGCTATGCAGCAGCCATTCAACCTGAATGACTGACTGGAGGCTATTGGATTTAGATAATGGAAGTCGGTGAATTTGAACGTTGAGCAATGCTTTAGGATAGAGGATGTCCTCAAGTCGTGCCATCCTTGACAGACGAATAAGGATAATTTGCAAAAGGCCGTCTCAGGCGGTTGGTGACCAATCCGTGCGACTTAGCGATGGATAGATCCTGTGAGTGGCTGATGAAATTTTTGTCGAACGTATAAACGTGAACATGTGATGCAATCCATGACGGTTCACGGCTATGGTTTACGACAACAGTTTTTCTGGAAAGGTATTGCAATTGGATGATCATGGTCAGGGGCAATGATTGGTCCACCATTGGAAAGTGCTTGCGCTGAGTCGAAAGTTTTGACAACCGCAGCGGCGTTCGTCATCAGTCAAATATTAGGTGCGAAACAGAAAAAGCCGCGTTGCGTCGTAAACAGTCCAGCTTGGCGAGCAACACTTCGAAGACGAGCAGATCAAGACGAGTGTGTCGAGGTTCAACAGCTAATACCGGATTTGTACAGCGTCAGCGCACCGCCCTCCTGCTTCTAGTCGTTTAATAGGACTATCCCACCAGACCATGGCTCGATGGTACTTAGGCACTTGAAGTGCTGTGCAATCCAATCACTGCAGGTGCTTCAGTACAATGAAGTGGTGGGCTGAAGAATTTGGACCATGCTTAAAGTGATGAGTGACCCCGGTTTTGCGTGCTCAACTGTCATAGCGTGCATTAGCTGTAACTACACCATTAAATTCGGTCAACACTAACGAAAAAGAATAAATTTTGAATCAAATTTGTTTAATGGTGTCATCGATGAGCAGAAACTAATATTTTTAAGCATGCATAGAAAAACGACGAAACAAATACGTCTGGCATTATGAGACATCATAGAAGAATAAATAGGAAAAAAATAGCAATTTCGAATAGTCAAAAAGAATAAAACTAAGGCCAAGAAAACAATGAAAAACTAAACGATTAATGAAGTAGGAAATTTACAATAACATGCCGACGTGAAAACACAACTATATTCGTTAATCATATTCAACTAGCTTGTGTGAGAACCCGGAAGCTTTTCCAATGCGAATCCGACCTGTGAAATTGACTCGATCTCAAGTAGAAACTGAAAAACTGAGACCGTTTGACGTACGGTTGGACAAGCAGTTCAAGGACCGCCATGGAAAGCATAAGAGATGAGATATCTTACAGTATAATATTCCCAAGCGGGCTTCATGTAAAAATGTATTAACGTAGTTAAATGCATTAATATTAAATTTT